TTAAAGTATGCTTTCCTGGCACTACTTATAAGATTCTGGATATTAAGAATATGCAGAAATCATAAGGTAAACTGAAAATCTTTTCATCTTTTTCTAGATACTATATGTACAGATCTATCTGTCTATGTAGAGTAAGAGGTGGCAGTTAATAAACATTTCATTTGCTGTAATACACTAAACATGTTGACTTGTCTAAGGAATAGTTCAGGTGTCAATGCATCCATCTTGTTTTGGTGCTTTTTCAACAAAATTTCACTTTCCAATTTCTCCTACATCCATCTCCATGTTTTTAATTCTGTGGGGATCTACTTGCATTTCACAGTAGTATATACAATGGCACATGTGAATTTTAATTTGTTTTAAGCTCACATATACCTATGGGGCATATCCTTGCTTTCTAATCTTAACTGCTCTTCGCTTACTTCCTTCAGATCTTCTCTATAGTATGGCCTTTACAAAGATAGAGTTCATGAAAGGCTAAAGTTCTGGGTGCTTTCTATCTCTTTAGTTTTGACCTTTTGCCTTTGCTGTCTCATTTTCTCAATGTTCTTTTAGTTTGTTACTTTTCTTAGCAATGTGAAGAAAGTTCTTAGACTAATCATAAGCTTTTTTCTCTCATGTCCAAATGGTCCCTTTACACTTGGCAGTGTGGTTCTAGGAACAGAAGTCATTCTCAGCTTGCCTCTTGCTAGATTTGGTAAAGATGAGGTACAACAGGAAGACTCAGAGTCAAGGGTAAAGCTGACTCTTCCTTTGCTGTTTAGTCTGGCAGCAGTAAGAGCTGCTTGGCTCAACTTCTGTGGGCACCCTCGGGCATACTGGGTACCCTCAGCCTAACCATGCCCTGGAAGAAAGCAGCACCCACCAGTCAGAAGTTCCCCTACTCAATTTTATCCCCCCCCCCCCAATTTACTCTCTAGTGTCTTCAGTGTATTGACTTGTTTCTTAATATCAGAACACAGATTAGATCAGCACCCATGCTAAAAACCTCTCACTGTCATTTTAGGACCTCTTTTTATCTCTAAATAGGTTACAGTTTGAAGCAATGTTGAATAAGGCCTCAACAAACGAATTTAGCCCACAAGATCTTCTCTCATTATTCCTCCCTCTAGGGTCCTAAGGCAAACTTTTAACTCCAAACACATAGTTTTTTTGTTTTTCCCAGTAGATGCATGATAGGTCTCCTAAAACTGTGAGTTAACATATTTTTACATTTTTCTGTAGCATTCTGCATTTATCTGCCCATCCTGCCTGTTTAGGACAATGATTCAGTTCCCAGTCATAACCAATCTTTTTTACCACTCATCCTACTGAGTTAAGAGACACAGAATAGCGTTACTTCCCAAAATTACATTTGTACTCTAACTGTATTTCCTCGAGCAGTCCTATTATCTTTTTAAGCTTTATTTCCTGGATTCTATTAACTCGGTGCTGAATAGAAGTTACTGAGTTCCTTTCAGTCTTTTGCTCTGCACGCAGCCTGGTCACACAATGAGCATTCACTAAAGTGAAAAACAGAAGGTCATAGGACTTGGGAAGTTTAAGCACCAAATATGCCAAGCTGACTCTTCTGCTGAAGCCCGGAAAAAAGGTTTACATGAATCTACCCACTAGTTCACTTCCCCTCAGATGAATGGAGCTCAATTGACCCTCGAAGTACAAAGAAAAATCCAAAAGGATACTATCAGCAAAGGCCTCTTAAGCTGCCTTTGCAAGCTTTGAGAAAAGGAAAACCTGTCTTTATTCCATGCCTCCAATTTTGCTCAATAGCAGCAAATGAAATGCCCTGCCTTCATTCTGTCTGAAAACCTTAGTTTCCTGTCTTAGGTCTACAGGTTTGCTGATGCAGGTTATTCTGCTCCAAGAAGCGGGAGGAAAGAAGTCAGCAGCAGGAGCTAAAGCTGGTTCTCTCCAAATCTCTCCCTTTCCCAGCACCTTCACTTTACACTCCAAGATGTCTTCTCACTCGCAACTAAGAGGTTAAAAGACAATTTTGGGGAGTAGTCTCTTTCCAACATATGAGTCCCCAATATTGGACTCAGGCTATCAGACTTGATAGCAATTGCCGTGTCCAGTGATTCATCTCACTGGCCCTACATCATTCTTAGTAATAAAATCTGGCATCTCAGCTACTTAAGAGGCTGAGACATAGGGGCTCTTGTGTCCTAGAGAGATAGATGACTGAGTGGTTCAAAGTGCATACTGTTCTTCCAGAGGACTTGGATTTGGATCCAGCAACCACATCAGGCAGCCTGTAACTCTAGTTCTAGGGCACTTGACACCCTCTCCTGACCTCCACAAATACCCATACACATATGTCACAGACACAGCAGACAGGTACATACACAAGCACAAATGCACACACAAAAATAAATGTAGAAAAAAAAAGTCATTCAAGAAACAAATAATAAAAATAAAAGCTAGTATTAACCAGTAATTTCAAAGAACTCAATCATCTGGCATGTACCAGCACCACTACTAACAGCAATGACAATGTGTGAAGTACAGGTGACATGTCCCTTATCTACTGCTGAATCAGTAGAATTCCAGGCTCACAGGGTCTATATTTAGTGACAGCTGTATACCAATTTGCCTGATGAAGATCCCTAAACTAAATAAACATCTCAAACCAGAAATTAAACCATTTTCGAGTGCCAACATAGAAACCACAAAGTTCTAGAGCCTGGATTTAAGAGCTCTGGGTTAGAGATGTTCCGCCTCTGTTTGCAATTGCTTCGTCTGCCTAACAGAACATGACAAAAAGTTCACGTGATCTGTCTGATCATACAGTGGGTTCTTGAGGACACTGCCTTTGTATCTATGTAAAACTTTTTTCATCATCATAATCCAAAAGTTAGATACTGAATTTTGTTGTTGTGGTTCTAGGGGCTAAACCCCAGGGTCTAGTTCCTATTAAGCAAGAACTCGACCACTGAGCTAAAATCCATAGCTAGTCCTTGTTCTAACTTTCTTGATTTTTTTTTTTTTTTAATGTATATGGGTGTTTTCCTTGCCTGCGTCTCTGGCCACCATATGCAAGACTAGTACTATGCAGGCTAGAGGAAGATGTTGAACCCCCTGAAGCTGGGATTCAAACCCAAGTGGTACCATGGTGTGAATGTAATTGGCTCCCATAATCTCACAGGGAGTGGCACTATTAGGAGGTGTGGCTTTGCTGGAGTGGGTATGGCCTTGTTGGAGGAAGTGTGTCACTGTGGTGGCAGGCTTTGAGGTTTCCTATGCTCAGGATACCTTCCACTGTTCCAGTCAACTTCCTATTGCATGAAAGATACAGGACTCTCAGCTACTACCCAGCACCACATTTGCCTGAATGCTGCTGTACTCTCACGATAATGGGCTAAACCTCTGAAACTGTAATGGAGCCACCAATTACATGAGTTCCTTCATAAGAGCTGCCGTGGTCATGCTTTCCATTCACAGCAATAAAATCCCTAATTAAGATACCAAGTCTTCTAGAAGACTTTTCATCCCCCTTGTTGTAATTTTAAAAGAACCGAATTTCTATTCTAATTGAGCAACCACTAAATGGCTTCCATACTAAAAAGAAAAACAATGTAGCAATATTGTTCAGGTGTGAGACAGTAAAGCATTAAGCCTTAACAATACCTAAAAATGGAGTGAAGTGAATAACGGGAAAATAAAAGCAATCAAGCAAAAACTCAATTCAAGTTTCTAAATGTAAGATCAAGAAAAAAAATAATTAATTTAAGAAATTGAGGGCTAGGGATATACCTTGGTAGGACAATGATCCCTAGCATGTGTGAGGTTCAGGTTCAATTCCTGAAATTAAAATTGTAAGAAAAAGTGGGAAAGAACAGAAGGGGAGAGAGGAGGAAGGAAAGAAGGGGAAGTGGAGAAGAAACTTAAAGGTACTAAAAACTAACTAACTAAATATATATATATATATATAAATAAACTAAATAAACTGAATAATGTACACTTCTGTATTATATAAGGGTTAGCACTGAGTGTTTGTAAACAAAGCTACTAAAATGACTTATTTAAAATGCAAACATTTGCCAGGTGGCAGAGGCGCAAACCTTTAATCCCAGCACTCAGGAGGCAGAGGCAGGCAGATCTCTGTGAGTTCGAGGCCACCCTGGTCTACAAAGTGAGTTCCAGGATAGCCAGAGCTACACAGAGAAACCCTGTCTTGAAAAAGCAAAACGAAACAAAAATTTCTTTTTCTTAGATTTATTTTATTTATGAGTGCTTTGCCTACATGTAAGCGCACCACATAATGCCTGATGCCCAAGGAGGTAAGGAGTGGGCATCAGGTTCCATGGAGTTGAAATTAAGGATGGTTATGAGCAACAATGGGGGTGCTGGGAATTGAACTGGGGTCCTCTAGAGGAGCAACTAGTGCTTTTAACTGCTGAGCCAATTCCCTAGCCCCTCTCTACACTTTTACTGTGAAACTGTCCCTCTGAGTTATACTTACTCAATAATATGCTATTAAACATGAAAAACTCTAGACTTCAGCTTGAACACGTAGTACTTATTCATGCACTTACACTCTGCCCGCTGACAGTGGTTCTCAAAATCTCAAGTACTTTTTATCATCACAATATTCCAATTATATATATTTACAGTAGTACACATATAAATAAATGCACATGTAAAAATAAATAGATCAAAAACATTTATCACATATATGTATATAAAGGTTCTCATACACACACACACACTTAGGAAAACAATCATAATTGTCAAAGAGAGGCTGGAGAGATGGCTCAGAAGTTAAGAGCACTTCCTATTATTCCAGAGGACCAAGTTGGGCTCCCAGCATCCACTTCTGGCAGCTCACAACCAATTACCTCCTGCTCCAGGAGATCTGATGTCCTCCTCTAACCTCCCCCACCAACATGTGACAATATACTCATACAAGCACACACACAGTATTTTTTTTTTTTAGTCAGGGATCTTCAAAAACTAACAAATTTCAAAATGAAAATGAAAGTGTTTGTGTTTTAACTTACTGACTGATTAAGTCGGATGCCACCTTACAGCCATCATCTGCCTCCTCTTCCATATCAGAGTCCAAACCATTGTCACCTTATAAAAAAAAAAATGAGCTACTGAAAACATGTTTATAAAATGGTTTTATCATTCTATAAAAGTGCTATCTTTAAGATATGCAAATTTAAAAAATTATAAAATATTTTTCTATTACTTGTCTTTTTTTTAAGATTGATTTTTACCTATTTTACATATGTCTGTGTGTATCTGTGTGTGACTAGGTACATGTGTGCAAGTGCCCACACAGGACAGAGTGGCATGACAGATGGTTATAAATTACATTGTGGGTGCTGGAAACCACACTCAGATACTACAGAAGAGCAACAAGAATGCTTAACCCTAAACCATTTTTCCAGTCTCCAGTGTTATATTTAAAATTGATTTTTTCATTTGTCTTCCCTTTATCACAAACATACAAAAATATGTATGTACAGAATTAGAAACTACATACATATATATGTACATATGTCCAGAAATATATGTACATATTTCCAGAATCACACATTCATTTTTGTTGGTGGTGGTGGTGAGGTGGTGGTGGTGGTGGTGTGTGTGTGTGTACATATATATGCAAAAGTCAGATGATATCAGATCCCCTGGGGATGGAGTCACAGGGGAGTTACAGGCACTTGTGAGCCACCTGGTGTTGTTACTCTGATCCAAACTCCAATCTTAACTACTGATCAATCTCTCCACCCTATTACTTCACATTAAATAAATAAATAAATAAATAAATAAATAAATAAATAAGAAAAAATCAGTCTCTGTAAATGGAAAATGTCTGCTTTTTGTTTCTTCTGTGATACAAATAAGAAAATCCTCTCAAAGGTCTAAATCAAACCAAAAACAGAAAAAAATAAATTAAAACTTCAAAATTCTAAAAGTTAACAAAGAATGATCGTAGTTTGGGAGACAAAAATACTGAAAAAATTACAAATAACCCTAATATTGCATCTGGGTCTTACTGAACCAGGAGAAATACACAATAGTTCATTTCATTATAGGTTATTAAGACCACAAAGCAAAAAGTATCTTAATTATTCTAAAGAAAATGCAACTTCTTGGTGACTTTTTACAGCACTTCTCATTTTTTTAAAATTTCATTTTATTATAGTGAATAAACATGGCCTTATCTACATACTGTTTGGGGAAAACCATATACCAAATTTGGGGTTTTTTAGAAATTATATTCTGATATATAAGTTATATTTTTCAGTATAAACAGAAGTAAAGATATTCTTGTGTGATTCCTCAATAATAAAATTAAAGTCACATTCAAGCAAGAGAAAGAAAACTTCAATATTTATGCAGAGAACCAATTAATTAGTTTTCAGAATGTAGAAATATTCATTCTTACCCTCAAGAATCTTCAAGATTTTTTTTTCAGACAGGAGCTCTAATTGTTCCTGGCATAGTTTTTTAATTTCTTCTACTGAACAGTTCTAAAGAAAATGACATTTAAAAAAAATTGCATTTATGTACTATAGCTCCAATATAAACTGGAAAACTGCAATTATAAGAAAAAATCCAATTAGCAAATCTTATAATCAAACAATTAAAGCCTCAAGAATATTCACATAAATTTTTTTATGGAATGAAATCTGAAAAGTTGTCAGTTGACATGAATATTTCAGAGATTTGAAAGAATATATAAAGTCACGTTGATCAGAAGGATCTTCCAAATCCCCTTAATTGCAGACTACTTTATCTTAGGTAATTCTTACAGCAGTGCAAATCTTCAGCGAGTGACTAGATGAGATACTTCCCTTACAATTGACTTGGGCTTCCTATAATCTCAAAATCGGAATAACACATATTTCACCAAAGTTTTCAGAAATGCATACATAAGAATACCTATAAACCTGATAAATCACAAGCTACTACCAACTATGTTGCAACTGTTACACAGCAACATGCTATTCTTAAGCACTAGAAAGATACTATTATAACTCCAATTAGTACCATTACTGAGAAAGAATAGCATTATTTCCATGGGGTCAATAAATGTCTTGCCTAAACATTTTTCTTTAAAAAAAAACGCTTGAACATAAAAGGCCATTTAAGGTTCTCCAAATTCTCTTCCTTGCAAGTAGCTTGTTTTAGATTAGAGCATCCAATCACACACTACACTCAATGAAAAGACTGCGACACAAGAAGGTTCTGTCTCCACGTGTGTGCAGCCCACTAGTGCAGCCAAGTACCTTCAGCACATCAGGAAGCATCTTCTGTAACTTCTTCTCTCCTATTATACAGAAGCACTGCTGGAGCATTTCTTTTTTGTCTGATATATAGAAACTAACTGGTTTTAATGAAACAGTCAGATCCAGTCCACCTTCTTCAACATCACTGTGCTCTGTCAATAATTCTTTCTCCAGAGTAGGCAAAAGACACTTGGTTTCCTATAAGTAAAGAAATAAGGAATTATTAAATAACACTATTTAAAATACTCGAAAGTGTTATGCATGACACCATCTATTGTCACTGAATATTTCTTTATTAAACACTAAATTCCTTTTGTTTACACAATTATATATCTAAAGTCAGAAGATAAAATTTACTTGTTCATCACTCCTTAATTTTACTCTCCACACTGCAGTTAACACAAGAAGTTGTAATAACAGAAAAACATATTTCAGAAGACACAAATGAAAATATACTCCATGGGGACTATTTTCTAAAATTTTAGACTTGAAGAATTAGAAGATTTCTTCAGGGACCTTTTATCCAAAAGCTATAAGGGCTTTGTCATTCTAATTCATATAAAGAAATAAAACAGCAGCAAATGTTACAAACCACAATTACCAAGTCTTACTCCAACCACAAGTTATCACTTTTAAACTGCTGTACGATTTCATCATATTCAAAAGGTCCAAACAGTTTCAATAATTTAAGACATTTCTGACATTTATACTTCCTGCCCTCCATAACTAGTCAGTATTTCCAAATCTACTTCCAAAAGTCTTCCATAATCTTTCCTAGATTCTAACAGCCATGGAGATGGCTTCCCCACATTCAGTATGAAACTTCAGTTACAAGATGAATTTTATAGAATGAGTCCTTATTCATCCTATTCTAAAACCATTAAGTGATTCCATGCTTTTCTTGTGATACTATGTTCCACCTGGCCCTTTGTGCTCATATTTTTGTGTTCCCAGCACAAGGACCTTCTGTAAATTACTCAAATACAAACCTCCTTCCCTCGGCTCATAGAGACAGGACTTGTGTGTATCTTCTGTGTAAGACTGTCTTTCCTCCCTCCTTCCCCTACACTACACCTTATCACATTATTAACAAGTGAAGATGGAAGTCCAAATGGGGTGGGAAAGCACAAAAGATCTATAATAATTTTTATTTTTTCAATTTAAAATTTTGTTTGCTATGAGTATATGATGTGTAAGCATTATACTCACACATGAAGGTCAAAGGACAACTTCTGAGAATAGATTTGCTCCTTCCACAGTAGTTTCAAGATGGAACTCAGATGTAAAGGCTTGTGCAGTACCACTGAGCAATCTCACTAGCTCTTAAAATTTCTTTTATAAAAATTTTTTTAGGGTAGGCAAGATGATGACCATCTTTAACTGCAGCTCTAGAGAAGGCAAGGCAGATAGACTCTGTGAGTTCAAGACCAGCCTGGCCTACACAATGAGTTCCAGGATAGTGAGGGATATATAGTGAGGCCCTGACTGAAAACAAACAAAACCAATTAAGCCTGTAAAGTCCTGCCAATGGTCAAGTTCTAATAGGCACATAAGGAAAATATTATAAACTAGTATGGAATATATAAAAATTTCCCAGCTCAATCCACAACAAAAAATAAAACTATAGGCTAGTCTAATTAGGATTTATTACCCCAGCACTCCAGAGGCAAGTGGATCTTTGTGAGTTAGAGGCCAGCCTGGTCTAAGTAGTATCTTGACAGCCAGTGCTACATAGGGAGACTCTGTCTCAAAAATAAACAAAAATATCTACCCCAAAGTAAAAATACTTCATATTACACATAAATCCAACACATCAAACAGGGCTTATTCTAAGACAGTATATACACTTAGTATCAAATATCTTACCAGTACTTAAACAACAAAATTACACTAACTGATACAATCACATAAACAGCATGTCAGGAAGCCACATGATAAAAACAGACCCACGAAACCAGCTGAAATGTCCCTAACCTGACCAAAGTCACCTTTCACAAGCTGTCACAAATATACTTACTGGTACATTCGAACTGTTCCCACTAGAGCTGGGTGTGTAGCTCGGGGCTAGAGCAGTTGTCTGGCAGACTCAAGGCCCTGGGTCTGGTACAGAAGGCAAGGAAGAAGAGAGGAAGGGGCAAGTCTAACTTTAAAAACAAAATGGGAAGAGAATGCCCACTGTCACTGCTACTATCCAGCACTGTATCAGGTTTTGATAATACAAAATGACTAGCAAAGAAAACAACGCTAAAAAAGAAAAAAGTTCAGTGTGAACAGAAATATTACAGAAAGCCATTAAGAGCCCAACAGTGTGACCAGGTAGAAGAAAATCATATAGACAGTTGCACCCACAAGTCCCAATTTAAAATTGTAATGTTAAAATGTATGAGGCTGGAGAAATGGCTCAGCAGTTAAGAGAGCTTGCTGCTCTTCCAAAGGATGAAAGCTCGGTTCCCAGTTCCTACAATGGTCTTAAAATCACCTATATGGGGGGCTGGAGAGATGGCTCAGAGGTTAAGAGCATTGCCTGCTCTTCCAAAGGTCCTGAGTTCAATTCCCAGCAACCACATGGTGGCTCACAACCATCTGTAATGGGGTCTGGTGCCCTCTTCTGGCCAGCAGACATACACACAGACAGAATATTGTATACATAATAAATAAATAAATATTAAAAAAAATCACCTATATGTAGCTTCAATAGATCTTATGCCCTCTTCTGTCCTCTCTGGGCACCTGCATGCATGTGGCACACACTCAAATGGGAGGCATACACAACACACACATACTTTTTTTTTAAATAGTTAAAAAACTATGAGAAGAGTCAGGAAGGTGGCTCAGCATGTAAGGTTGCTTGCTGCCATCCTGACAACCTGAGCTCAGTCCTTGGAATCCATGAATTCAACACACGCAAATTGTCCTCCGACTCCACAGTTGCTGTGGCACACACTTACACAAAATAAATAAACATGAAAGTTGTTAAGTAGTATAAAAAATACAGAATTATTTTATAAAATTTAAGATCTTCCAAAACACAAAACTCAGAAGGCAAAAGAAATCAGCTCTGGCTACAAAGAAATCAAAGGCTCCTGAACACCTTAAACAAAGTTGTAGCATTTCCTGTACTTGCTACATAAAAGGTTAATATAAATACAAATGAGACTTCTCACAGAAATGCCGAGTAAAAGAAAAAAACAGGCCTGTTTTTGAGTTTGAAGCCAGTCTGTTCTACAAAATCCAGATCAGTAGGGACTAGACAGTGAGACCTTGTGTCAAAAAAAAAAAAGGTAATATTCACTTGGTCCATTAGTCTGAAGAGAGACGAAGGTGTGGGACACACCTGTAACGCCAGCGAGCCAAGGACAAAGGCAGGAGCAAAGTTCTAGGCTAGTCAAGGCTACACAGTGAGGGTGGAGTGTTAGGAAGATGACGTACACTAGTGAAGATCTGCAAAGAATTGTGAGCACAAAGCAATTCGTCAGTATATATTAATCAATGAAGGTATGTGGATACTGGGGAGTCCCTAAAACACGGGAAGAAGCTGGGCGGTGGTGGCGCACGCCTTTAATCCCAGCACTTGGGAGGCAGAGGCAAGCGGATCTCTGAGAGTTCGAGACCAGCCTGGTCTACAAGAGCTAGTTCCAGGGCAGGCTCCAAAACCACAGAGAAACCCCGTCTCAAAAACCAAAAAAAAAAAAAAACCTCACACACGAAGTATGGGAGGAACCCTATTCAACGTGGGCATATTACCCAGCTATGAAGGTGTAGCATAGCAACAGAAGGTATGCATAGCAAATGACAGTACGAAGGGCTTTCACCTTCTGCCTTTACTTCTGTTTTCGATGACTTGTAAGTAACCTTCGTGTTATAGTAAGTTACAAACTACTGTTTGAAATGGTGGTCTCGCGACAGGTTGATGACACATAAAAAAAACGTCTTTTGGGACCAGGTGTTGAATTCAAATGTAAGAAATATGAAATGCTTGCAATTATAACTGTGGGTAAAACTCCCGAATTTGGGTCTCAGTTGTTTGTGTTTTTCATGTGTGATGTGAAAATAATGAGAATCCGTTAAAACGGTAAGGTATGATCAGTGCTTACAACGGCATTTGTAACTAGTTCCCATCCCACGGCAAAACCACGAGTGAAAAGAGCCACGAAAGTTTAATAGGGAAGGGGTACTGGGCAGTAAATCAAGAAACTTGGACGTTCAAAACACCGGGAGGGGTTCCACCGGACGCAGAATCGAACCGGCGGCTCGGGGAAACCCGGCACTAACAATGAGCTCCAGTGCGCGCCCGCGCGGCTCCACAGCCCGGCTCTTCGGAAGAGGCCGCAGCTCCGGGGGACGGCGCGAGGCGAGGCACGCACCTGCTGCACGGAGCCCGAGACGCTGGAGGACGAGTCGGTGCTCCTCCGCTTTCGGCGCTCGCTCCGTTCCGCGCCGCCCGCCACACTCGCCCCGCCGCCGCCGCCGCCTCCTCCTCCTCCGCTGCCTCCGCCGCCACCCGTGCCCCCGCAGCAGCCGCCGCTCCCGCAGCTGCCCGCGGTACCGCCCACCACGGGCACCAGGTCCGGGGCCGCGAGCGCAGCGGCCGCCTCCTGCCCGCTCCGCTTGCGCCGCTTCTCCCGGGAAGACTTCTTCCCCGTCATGGTCCCCGCGCCGCAAGCATCGGCGACAGCCGGCCGTCTCTGCAGCAACGGAACACCGCTTCCGTAGCGGCCGGCTGGGCTGGCGCAGGTTTGACGTCACTTCCGGTGCCGGCGCGTTGGGCGGTGTGTGGTTTCTGGAGGACGGAGGCGGACCGCCGTAACAGTGCTGAGGTGGGCTTGAGTTTTGGGGGTGACGTGTAAGCCAATCGGGCTGTTTGTTTTTCTTCAACCTCTGCGAAGATCCGAAAGTCGAGTTTTTCAAGCGCTCTTTGCCTTACGGGTAGCTCTTTTTTAAAAAGTGTCTCTCAGCTTACAGACACGTTCCTGAGTAATTTTCCGTTGCCTCCAAGTTCCACGCGTGATATCAGCAACGATGTAACAATAAAAAGAATTTCAGGGGGAAAAAAATGTTTTCTTTCACTACGACCTCATTTGGGCAATTTTTTTAAGTGTACTTTAAAGATTTGTTCAAGGATATTTTTTCCCATTAATACTAATTTCGAGGCATGATTCCATGTTAGTTTTAAAGAAATGTAGGGGCGGGGAAAGTAAAACGTTTAAAAAGAAAGCTCTAGCTGTGGTATTGCAGTGTGTAGCAATGTGAGCTCAAGAGTTTATTAGAGTCAAGAAAGTAGCCACCTGTGGAAGTGAGGTCTGACTGCCTCAGTGGAAGTTCCTCAAATGGCCTGGGGAGAAGGGCTACTTTGTTTCTCTTTCTGGCGTGTCGTTTAGTAAAACCTGCAGCTCTTGGCAAAGCGTCTCTGCATCTAGAAGAGACGAAACTAGAAACACACTATAAATACACAACTTGGGAAGTCTGAATTTGAGTAGGTTTGTGGATTTGATTTTGTGGCACAAAAACCACAGCTCTCCTCTCAAAGGTCTCTCACTATTTTGAGTGACCATGGCCTGAGGATTAGGTGACTCCAGACTTCATGTTCCAACCTTTTTTTTTCTAAGTTTCACAGACCAAAGATAAATCAAGACAGGTTTAAAATACATTACTGGGGCCTGGAGAGAGAGCTCAGGGGTTGAGAGCACTGGCTGCTCTTCCAGAGGGTTCATTTCCCAGCACCTACATATTACTGTCTTTAACTCCAATTGCAGGGGACCGCAGAGCCTCATACAGACATACATGCAGGCAAAACATCAATGCATATAAGAATAAATCTTAAAAAAATACATTAGTGGGTACACCCAAGAGACAGATACATTGATTCACTGGGGGGGGGGGCTGGCTACTGGGATTAAAGGTGCATGTCATTGCTGCCTGGTCTGTCTGTAAGGCTGGCCAGTGTGGCCGTTTTACTTTTCTAATCATCAGACAAGCTTTATTTATTTAAAAAAAAATCAAATGCCACTCCAAGCCTCAAAAGACCACATAGTCTATAACAGTCTCAAACTGATTTAAAAGACTAATGTTCAAGTCTCTTCTGAGATTGATGCAATCTATCTGTAATCCCCTATTTAAAAAAAATAAAAAAAGCAGATCACATATGAGATTACCTGGCACAAGAGAGAAGGAAACACATACACGCAACAAACCTGCTTCGGAGTTTATTAGAGGGGGGTGTACAGGCCTGGTGAGGTCGGTGTGCAGAGATAAAGAGCTGAAGATGGTGTGTCCAGCTTTTAAAGGCCACCTAGGGCATGCGCACAGGGGGATGACGTGGCTGCATCAAACGCATATGATGGAGCTCACGCATGCATGCAAGGTCTCACGCCACGGCATCATATGTAGATGATGCAACCATGCTGCATGTGGGTCATGCAGGATCCTTTAAGATTCCCAGGGCCGATAGGCACTTCTGCCTGAGGGCTTGTCTACACATGCGTGGTCCTGGAACCCAGAAGTGTAAGCCATGTTGTGTGGCTGAATCGTCAGAACATACTTCCAACAAATAATGGCAAAGGATGTAGGGGAGAGAGCGTCTTGAGAAAACACTGGGCCAAAGCAAGACCCAAAACGAGCTCTGCAAACTCCCAACTCTGCATCTCCATGTCTGACATCAAAGTGTTCTTCAGGTCACCAACTCGTTTCAGCTTTGTTGACTGAAAGACACCTCTCTCTTGGGCTAGTTAGCGGCTCCCCTCAGCAGGTATCCATGGTTCTGGCATCTCCAACATCTTGAACTCTCCAAGGCAATCCAGGCTTCAACTTCACAGCTGCACACAATGGCCCCTCTGAGCCTCCATGCAGGGAAACCCCTGCCACACACCTGGCTCCAGTGGATTTCCTTAGTCACAGAGGGGGATTCCATAACTTCTTTCTTCTATCTGCGACTCTAAAATTGGAAACACGTGGCGTGACCTAATCTGCTAAATTCTTCTCAGAACTAGAACATGATCGCCTAGTTCGATCACATCTTTGCCAGCTTTCTGTGTTTGATGGTTTCCTTCACTGGCGAATTTTGAGAGACTCAATTCTCTCTCTCTCTCTCTCTCTCTCTCTCTCTCTCTCTCTCTCTCTCTCTCTCTCTCCCTCCCTCCCTTCCTCCTTCCCACCTCCCTTCTATAGAGTGAGTTACAGAACAGCCAGGACTGTTACACAGAGAAATCCTGTCTCAAAAAAACAAAAGAAAGGAAGGGAAGAGAGAGAGAAGGAAGAGAGAAATCTTAGTTAGAGTTAATAACCACATGACAAAGTTAATCCTAGGATGTTTTGAGATTTCCTCTGCTGACTGAATTAATCCAACACTCTTCACGTTAGTCTCAGGGAAACTTCAGACAAGGGCAAAAGCAGCCACATTCTTCACCAGCATATCACAAGACTTGTCTTTAGGCCTCTAACATTCTTCTCCTCTGAAACCTCTGAGCCCTGCCCCCTAACAGTTCATATGACTGTCTTTCATGCTCTAATTAGTACAACTCATTAAGGATTCATCTGCTTTGCTAGCCCAAAGTACCAATGTCCAAATTCCTCCAGGCAAAAACATGATCGGGTCTATCATATCCCAACTGGTACCAACTTCAGCCTTAGGGTTTCTGTTGCTGGGAAGAGACTCTGTGACCACAGCAACTCTTACAAAGGAACACATTTAATTGGGGTGACTTGCAGTTTCAGAGGTTCAGTGGATCATCTTCATGACTAGTGGCCTACAGACAGGAGTGGTGCTGAAAAGGAGCTGCGAGTTCGACATCTTGATCTGCAGGCAACAGGAAGTTAACTGTGTGCCACATTGAGCACAGTTTGAGCAAAGGAGACCTCAAAGCCCACACCAACAGCGATGCATTTTCTCAAAAAGGCCATGCCTACTCCACAAAGGTCACACTTCCTAATAGTGTCACTCCCTTTAGGGGCCATTTTCTTTCAAACCACCACAGGTGTGTATTACATAATGTGTGCTCTTTGTAAATATTTTACATATCTAGGATGTGAATAAGAGTGGCATCCTCAGCCAGGCTGTGGTGACTCATGCCTTTAATCTCAGCACTCGGGAGGCAGAGGCAGGCGGGTCTCTGGGAGTTCGAGGCCAGCCTGGTCTACAGAGCTAGTTCCAGAACAGGCTCCAAACCCACAGAGAAACCCTGTCTCGAAAAACCAAAAAAAAAAAAAAAAAGAAGGAAAGTAGAATACAGGAATGAAAAGAAAAAAAAAGTCATTTTGTTTGGACTGCAGTGTATATCAGAGGTAGAGTTCCTACTTAATAAGGCCCTGAGTCTGAAGCCAGCATCAACAAAGCTAAAATTAATTTTGCACAAAAGAAAGATAATAAAATGGATCATAAAACATCAAGACAGTTCATAAGCTCATGGATGGAGCCAGAGTCAAAAGAACAGGGAGTCTCTGAGCTAAAAATAGCTGAGCACATGATTCCTTCTGTCTCTTTTCCAGGCCCTGAAGTCAAAGGTAGAAGTGACTTGGGATGGGAGATCTTTGCATTAAGTGGACTACATAAGAGTCAGAAATACAAGCACAGCATGACTTTCATGTGAAATCTTAAACATCTGACCTCACAAAAGGTGAGGATGGGTGGTTAGCAGAGGCCATGATGAGAAGGGAGGTGGGGATGGAGGAAAGTTGGTCAGTGGATAGAAAAAAATTATAGTTACATAGAAGCAAAAAAAAAAAAAAACACGTCTGGCATCCAAGGAAAGATTTTGAACTTTTTACCATAACAAAATGATAAATGTTTGAGAAGATAAACATGTGTTCACCAGACTTAAATATAGTACAATGTGTTCGTGTGCGAAAACATCACGTTTGTTGCCCCGTTAGCATATACAATATTTATGATGACTGTAATTCAGGGATTGAGTACTTGCTGAGCATCCACGAGGCCCCAGGCTTGAACCCCAGCACTGTATCTAAGAAAGGAAGGAAATAAATACATTTCTACATAACAGTATTTCTATGTAACAGTATTTATTTTTCCTTTTTTAGTTAAGGGGCAAGCGAGATGGCACTTCTGGAAAAAGTTGCCGCGCCTGAAAACGGTTCAGTCTAGAGCCCACTTAACGCAGAGAACTAACTCCACCAAATTGTCCTCTGACTTCCACATGTGCCCTGTGGCATGTAGGCCTACCTCCCCAGGCAAATTAGTTTGAAAAAAAAAACATTTTTGGTTGGAAAAACATGGAGTTATCAATCAATATAATGAGGCTGTCTGATGAGGATGCAGGACTGAGTTTTTCAAATGCATCAGTGTCTAGTGTCTAGTAGCACAAGTTAACAATACCTCATAACGGGCTGGAGAGATGGCTCAGTGGTTAAGAGCACTGGCTGTTCTTCCAGAGGTCCTGAGTTCAATTCCCAGCAACCAGCATGGTGGCTCATAACCATCTGTAATGAGATCCGGCGCCCTCTTCTGACCTGCAGGCATACATGGAGGCAGAATGTTGTATACAGAATAAATACATCTTTAAAAATTAAAAAAAAAAAAAAACAGTACCTCATAAGGTCCCTTCCAGGAAGTGGAGGGAGCCTTTACCTGATTTAGCTTCCAGTGAACACAACCCCTAGGTTGAAAGCTGTGATCTAGAATAACATCTTTGTCCCTGGGAGCTCCCTAATTAACTTGGATTTTTTTTTTTTTTTTTTTTTTTTTTTTTTTTTTTTTTTTTTTTTTTTTTTTTT